TGAAAGTAGGAATAAGAGATCCTCCGGAATAGGGCTTTATTCCGGAGGATCGCGCCAGTCTGAACGCTCTTTTCCGGCTTTTCCCCAAGCCGGGAAAAAAGCGGCGGCCATGTTTATTTAAATCCCGCGGGGGATATTTAAATCCCCCGCGCATTTCCCTAGTCCAAAGTTCTAAATTAGCATGGCTATTCCGAAGAAGGGGCCAGTGTAGACGTAGCCTAAGTGTCCCTAGGCCTCTGTGGGTGCGTCTACACTGCACCGTTATTTCAAGATAACTAGCGTTATTTTGAAATAACCATGCGAGTGTCTACACATCAAATAATTTTTAAATAACGGACGTCTTATTCTGAAATCTGTAAACCTCATTCCACGAGGAATATCGCCTATTCCAAAATAGCTATTTCAAAATAAGGCGTGCGTAGACTTTCCATTGCTGCTATTTCGAAACTGCCCCTCACCACGGCCATTCTGAGTGATTCCTCCCCAGTGCCTCCTGGGGCTCTAAATCAAGAGAGCACGTCTACACTAGGGAAGTCTGCCTCGGACTCATTTTGAGGCTTCCCTGCAGTGCAGACGTGCTGTGTTGAAATAGACTATTTCAGAAGAACTATTCCAGAATAGCTTATTGAGAAAGAGCCGTGCAGTGAAGACGTGGCCTGTTTCCCATAAGCTGGGACTGGCTGACGGGTTGGTTCACTCAATAAATTGTACTATTCAGATCATTCCTTCTGAAGCACCTGGCATTGGCCACTAACAGCAACAGGATCCTAGGCTAGATGGACCTTTGGCCTGACCAGTGTGGCTGCTTTTATGCAGCCTGTCTCACACACAGCTCTCCCCTGCCCCTTTCCTCGCTCCCGCCATCTGCGCTCTCATGCAGCTCTGACTCAACATGTCTCTCTCCATCGCTTAACCCTCATGGAACAAGGGTTACAGGGATGCCAAAATAGCGCACCCATTATTTTGAAAAATATTTCAAAATAACAGGCAGCTTGTTAAGACTCAGAGTAGCTTTTTTAGGATACCTCTGGTATCCCAAAATAGCTGTGTAGTGTAGACATACTCTTAGTGAATATGGCTATTTAACCTTTACAGCCCCAAATCCAACATTTAACTTTCTGATAGTGATGCCTTAAGTCATTTTGCTTCTATAAAAATCTATAAAAAGGAATAGAAATGTAGCCGTGTTAGTCTGGGGTAGCTGAAGCAAAATGCAGGACTAGGTATACATGGTTGTGACTCTTTTCTTCCACTATTTGATCTGAGGAAGTGGGTCTGGCCCACGAAAGCTCATCATCTAATAAACCATCTTGTTAGTCTTTAAAGTGCTACCTAGTCCTGCATTTTGTTTCTCTAGGTCCCAGTGGCCCTTTTTAAGCCCAGTTAGGTGCTAGCTGACCTGTCATAGGTGCAATGGTTTCTTCCCACCCCTCTGTCCCAATTTACTAGATAAGTGCCTGCCCCATTCACCAACTTAATTCTCCCCTTGCATCGGGCATTTTAAATCAAAACAACTTTCTTCACTGGACAGCCCCTACTACAAAACACTGAGAAACCCCTGGACGTGACTCGTGATATTTGATCACTGGGGGCAGCAAAGCACAGAGCTAAATTTTGCACCAGGAGGCAGGGCTCATTATTTCCCCTTTCTTCCAAGAACCAGGCCCCTGGGTGCCATACAATGAAGAACAAGCTTCCCTGCGGGGACAGGCCCTGTACATTTTGCCATTTAAAAACGCCTTATCGGCCAGGTTACTTGTGCATGAAGCTTCACGCGCCTGTTTCACACCCCCGCACTCAGACTGTTGCCACGTTGTGGTCCCCAAAGAGACAAAGAACGAGGGACTCACCTTTCCATTGGGACTGGCTTTCTTAAATACCCTGCAAAACAAGGAAGGGAAAGATTTGTTAGTAACAAGAGAAGAGACTTGGAAACCAGGGTGCGCATTTCAAGTACATGGAGCAGCTGATGCCATAGCTAAACCAGTGTAGCCAAAACACAACGTGGGAAGTCCAGGGCTTATTTAGGGACCTATACACATAGGTATGGATCTGAATATAATCTGTCTGTCTACCTGTGGCGGTGTGTCGGGGTTCCCCACCTCCTGCACCCCCGTAGTGGCACAAACAGACTCCACCAGCAAGTAGAATAGAGGGAGTTTATTGCTTCTCCAGGATACAGCACAGCACAGATGTCATCTGGTTACAGGAAGTGGGGCTAGGAGGCCTCAGTGTCCCCCCCCCCTTAAGATGGGGAGTGGCTGGGCCCTACAATCCCAGCCTCCTCCCTAGCTCCTTCTCCCCCGCTTCCCAGACTGAAACTACCACTCTCTTCCAGCCCTGCCTCCCAGCCAGGGCTCCACTCCGCCTTCTTCCCATTGTTCCACTCCCTGGGAGATAACTGGTCAGACAGGTTCAGAGCCCCCTTGCATAATGACTCATCCCCTGCCCTGCTGGGCTGTGCTGCAGACAGCAGCCAGTGGAGGTCACCCACAGCCCACTGCCCAGCATAGCAACCAGCAAGGTACCCCCCACTATGTCACACTACCCCATGCTTATCCCCGCAATACCAGAGTCCCTAGAGTTGGACAGAAGCTCTGATCGGCATTTGCTGATCTTTCAACTCCTTCTCCAAACTGGACAAGGGCCATCACTCGAGCAAGCCGCCCGCTGAAATCTGCGGCAGCTTGGGCCTGAGTCATGACTATGAGCCTGTTTAAAGCCAGAAGCCTTCTCAAGGGTGGGGTCTGGGGCAATGGACTGAATTCTGGTGCACGTTTTGCTGCTAGCCCTCACGATTTGGAGCTCAGTCATGGGAGGGGCAACGTGGTTGCAGAAAAGGTGCTAGGCAAAAGCTGGGAGACTCGTGTTCTATTGCCAGCTCGGTGTGAACTGAGGGGAGGACTATGAGCCTGTTTAAAGCCAGAAGCCTTCTCAAGGGTGGGGTCTGGGGCAATGGACTGAATTCTGGTGCACGTTTTGCTGCTAGCCCTCACGATTTGGAGCTCAGTCATGGGAGGGGCAACGTGGTTGCAGAAAAGGTGCTAGGCAAAAGCTGGGAGACTCGTGTTCTATTGCCAGCTCGGTGTGAACTGAGGGGAGTCGTTCCTCCCCCCCCCCCCCCCCCCCTTTCCCCATGTCATAGCCAATCCCTTGCTTCTAGTCCCAGCTTGCACTAGCCAAACTGGCTCCTCCCCTTGTTTCTAGGCCCCACTGCGCCAGCCATTCTGAAGCTTAATAGGTTTGCCTCTCTTCTGGCCACTCCTCCCATCGCTTTCTTCAGCATCAGCACTAGCTGGTCTCAGCTCCTGCTTGCCTTCCGCTCTTTGCAGCGCTCTGCTGCACTGCCTGGCTCGCTTCTGTTCGCTCGCTCGCTTATGCCGGCTTTTCCTCACGCTGTCCTCCATGCCCCCCCTGCTCACTCTGTTTTCACGGGCCAGGTGCCTCCTCTCGCCCGCTCAGAGGAGAGCTGGCCGGTCCCTGGTGAACTGGAACTTGCTTCCTCTTGGGGGGCCAATGACAGGGCCCCAGTGTCACTCAGGTCATGAATAGAAGGACCTTATTACCCCAAGTAACATTAGGCCCTCACACTGGGCTTGCCTGAGCTCCCTGGTGTCCCCCAAGCCCCCCGCCCGCCACCCCCGGCTGGGCTGTCCCAAGCCATTTGGCAGGGCTGCTGCTCACCCGACGCCCACGCCACCGGGACTAGGCTCGACTGGCCACGCCAGGCACTGCCCTGGACTGGCTGAGCCACACACCCCGCATGGGACTGGGGCTGTCCCCTGAGCCCCCTGCCTGGGCTGACAGGCCAAGCCCCACTGTCTGGGAGAGGGATTGGGACATGCAGCTCGAACCCCCCAATACCGAGGGCTGGCAGCCCGAACCCCCCTATGCCCAGGGCCAGCAGCCCGAGCCCCCCAACGCCTGGGGCTGGCAGCCCAAGCCCCCCAATACTCAGGGATGGCACCCCGAACCCGCCAACACCTGGAGCTGGCAGCCCGAACCCCCCTATGCCCAGGGCCAGCAGCCCGAGCCCCCCAACGCCTGGGGCTGGCAGCCCAAGCCCCCCAATGCTCAGGAACGGCAGCCCGAGCCCACCCACCCCCATCCCAATGCCCAGGGATGGCAGCCTGACCCCTGCCATTCATGACACTTTGGGCCTCCCCAAATATTCCTCCAGGCCCCCTCTCTGGGGGTCAGTCCGTTCGTTTGGCCAAACTGGACATCAGTTCCCTTTGCTCTTGCCAGCTAATCAAAGCAACTTGCAACTGGCAGGAATAAATGGGACAAAGGCTCTTTTTTTTTTTTTTTTTTGGCCAAAAAATCAGGCTGTCCGGGACGAGGCTTGACCAAGGGGACAGACCCAGCGACAATGGGGTGCATGGTCCGCCCGGGCCGGCAGCATTAGCAGACCTCTGCAGCGCTGATGCTCTGTGCTGAGTCTGAGCTGTTTGCTCTGGAGTCGCCGGGGCCCAGGGGCGCTACAGGAAGGAAGCAGGCAGAATGCAGGCCACCTGCTTCCTGGCCAGGAAGTTCCCCATTTCACAGGGTGGCCCTGGGGTGGCGTGTGAACTGACTAGTGCAGGGTCTATGCAAGTCACTGCCAGTCAGGACAAGAGCTCCTGGGCCGTGCCAGGGGATGGAGACAGCGCTGGGTCCCCTGTCCTCACGGCACACACTGAAGGGGAGACCTGCTTTTCCCTTCCTTGGCTCATGCCCGACACAGCGCAGCCATTACACCGCACAATACGCTGCCGCTGAGCCGGGCACCTGTGCGTCAGTTTTGCCAATTCCCCCTCTCCTTTTAGGGGCCCCCTGTCAACACATCCCACCTAATTCATCCTTCCTCAAAGGTCCACAGAGCCAGCCACTGTGAGCCAGCATACTTCTGTGGGCAGGATGCTGGCCGGGGAGACAGGGACCTGGGTTCTCGTCCCTCCCAGCTGCAGGCTGACTTTGGGCAAGCTATTCCCTGCCCCTGTGCCTCAGTTTCCCCTCCCAGCCTGTGTCAGCTTGCCAGGGCAGAATTTGTCCCTCGGCGGGGTTGTGTTGCACCCAGCAGGATGCAGTCTGCCTCTATTACAAAGCTAATAAGCAGCCACCGCAAGGGATCTCTGAATGGGAGAGAGACGGCGACGAGCCAAACCCCACAGTGCGTCTTGTGCCGTGGACGCTTTGTGTAGAAGCGTCTCCCTGCTCTAAGAAGTGTCAACATCCTTGCTTGCCAGCTCCCCTGCCCGACAATTACATTCAGCGATTGTTCTCCCAAATCGGCTGCGGGCCATCCCCAAAACAGCTGGGCAGTCTGAGAGCCGGATCCCGCTCTGGGGTTGGGGGTTATTGTTTATGCACTGTGCAGCGGGGGGCGGGAGGAGGGGGGAGTTCTTTGTGCTTCTGTTCCACTCCCCGCTGGCTGCACAGCATCCGTAGCTTCACGGATGTTCAGGGAATTGCGGCATAATTGAAAGGAGACCTTCCCTTTCCTTTAATGTCCCTGCCAACTGCTCTGTCTCCCTGCCATTCCGCAGGCACTGCAACGGCATCCAATGAACACAGCCTGCACCCTCCATTTCCCTGCAGGTGCACAGCCTCTTCTGCTCCCAAAATATTCTAAGACCTAAGGCAAAGGTCTGTGGGGTCAGCAAGTGCTACTGGGACGTGACAGTGTAGCCTAGTGGCCAGGATACCAGAGCACGGGTCCAGCTGCCTGGCTTCTATTCCTGACTTGGATCTGCTCTGGGATCGCCCCCCACTTGATCACGCCATGCGTCAGGTCTCCCCGGCTACGCAGTGGGGATACCAGACTCCCCAGGGAAGGGGCGAGCTCCATTCTTCAATGCTTCCAGAGCTTTGTGATCCTGGTGGGAAAGCCGCCTCCAGGCCCTCAGAGCACTGCTGAGGCTCTGAGCGACTGATAAAAAAGAGAGAGGTTCTGGGTGCTCCTCTGCCGAGCTGCCTCCCTCGTCACCGCCAGAGCTGGCTGGTCATTAACTGCTGTGCACCCAGTGGCGGAAGGGCATAGGGCGTGGGCCTGGGGGCACAAAGCTCAGAGAAGCAGCAGCAGGAAGGTCCGTGCCCAACAGCAGCAAGAAAGGCAGGTGGGGATGCTGGTGGCAGGTATCCGGCTCCCTGCGTGTTGGGACAATTTGCCGAACTCCTCTGGCAAGGAGAGCAAGGGAGGGCTCGGCCGATGACCAGCGAGGAGCCAACCCAGGCCAGCACCTGGGGGCGGCTCTGCAGTGGGTCCCTGGAGGCAGAGAGCTCGCTAGGCCCACGCCGGGAAGCAGAGCAGAGGGGGACAGGTGCCCACTGGACCACGCAGAGAGGGGCCAGGAGGGCTATTTGGCCTGGGCGTCAAACTCAAAGGGGGCTCAAATGTAGACCCGTTAGTGTTTTGGCCTTTGATACGTTTCACCCCCGTCTGTTCATGCGCCAGTAAAGCGCGTGCTCAACAAAAACTATTCAAACCGCATCTCACTCTGTGCCGCCTTGTTTTGTTTTCATGTTTCATCATTTTTTAACTCTCATGAAGGGAAGGGGAGCCTCAGAAGCTGGAAGTGGCCCAGGCCTTTCTGCATCTCGGAGAGGGCCTGCATACACATGCAGGGAATTCGAGCAGGCGCACAGGTGAACACGGGCCCAGAATCATAGACACTGGCAGGGAAAATCCAAGCTCACAAGTGGACACGACGTGCAAGCCAGCCTGGCCACCCAAACACAGCCTCATGTGTCCATGGACACAGAGAGAGAGAGCACCCGCCCCTTAGCCAGCCTGGCTGCGCTCCATCTCCCCAACCCCGGCTCGGTGTCCTGGCCTGAGGACAGCGAAGCATTGACATCTCCCTGGCCTGCCCACGTCCGGCAGGGCCCCTGGCCTTCGT